GAAACAAGTCACCGACTTTTTTGGGTTATTCTAGGTAATCTACACATGCTGCTATGTATGACAGCATGTTGCTAGTCATGTGTACCTACACTTGCACACTTTGCATTTGGTTTGACAATGTGTGCCAAAACTGCCAGAAGTACTGTTAACCAAGCTTATGCCTGGCTACAAGTCTGGTAAAACTGCCAGAAGTACTGTTAACCAAGCTTATGCCTGGCTACAAGTCTGGTAAAACTGCCAGAAGTACTGTTAACCAAGCTTAAGCCTGGCTACAAGTCTGGTAAAACTGCTCCATAAACTATCTACCTACATTTAATAATGGATGATCGATCTACCCAGGCTTGAGTGCAATCCTATAACACGCCTTCATTATTTTAATAATTAATGCAATACACCTCGTCTACTCTCGCTATTTGTTCATCCACACGGTTGTTATAATTATCAAAGAAAGCGCTAAACTGACAGGGGTCATACAGCGCCATGGTAGTTCATGTCCACAATGAAAACCCCCCAGTGGAAACTGGTCACTGACCTGGGTTATCCAAGATAATTTACATGTACAATAATTTGGGTAACTATATACCTGTACCTAAACCCAATTTAGCCATTGCAACTAATTTACAGATTAAAAGTTTTAGTAAACGAAAAAAAATTGTACCTAATAGAGGTGCTAAACCCACCAGGGTCCAACAGCACCTAAACTGTAGCGGTGGTATTGACATTAGTAGGCAGGGGAAGGGGGGGGGGGGTTACCAAGTAACGATTAACGTTTACGCGCGTGTGCACAGGTCCTCAACACACTGCAGTAGGCCTACTGGAAAATTCAATACCTCTTAAAGCAGAGTAACTATAGTGGGATGGTGTCGGAGGGACCAAGAGTAACTATGAAAATGTGGGAAAGCAAGGGAGGGCCGCACAAGGAGGGCAAGAAAGCAAGGGAGGGCCGCACAAGGAGGGCAAGAAAGCAAGGGAGGGCCGCACAAGGAGGGCAAGAAAGCAAGGGAGGGCCGCACAAGGAGGGCAAAAAAGCAAGGGAGGGCCGCACAAGGAGGGCAAAAAAGCAAGGGAGGGCCGCACAAGGAGGGCAAAAAAGCAAGGGAGGGCCGCACAAGGAGGGCAAAAAAGCAAGGAGGGCCGCACAAGGAGGCAAAAAAGCAAGGGAGGGCCGCACAAGGAGGGCAAAAAAGCAAGGGAGGGCCGCACAAGGAGGGCAAAAAAGCAAGGGAGGGCCGCACAAGGAGGGCAAAAAAGCAAGGGAGGGCCGCACAAGGAGGGCAAAAAAGCAAGGGAGGGCCGCACAAGGAGGGCAAAAAAGCAAGGGAGGGCCGCACAAGGAGGGCAAAAAAGCAAGGGAGGGCCGCACAAGGAGGGCAAAAAAGCAAGGGAGGGCCGCACAAAGAGGGCAAAAAGCACGGGAGGGCCGCACAAGGGGGAAAGGCAAGGGAGGGCCGCACAAGGAGGGGGGGAAAGCATGGGAGGGCCGCACAAGGAGGGGGGAAGCATGGGAAGGCCGCACAAGGAGGGGGGAAAGCATGGGAAGGCCGCACAAGGAGGGGGGAAAGCATGGGAAGGCCGCACAAGGAGGGGGGAAAGCATGGGAAGGCCGCACAAGGAGGGGGGGAAAGCATGGGAAGGCCGCACAAGGAGGGGGGGGAAAGCATGGGAAGGCCGCACAAGGAGGGGAAAGCATGGGAAGGCCGCACAAGGAGGGGGGGAAAGCATGGGAAGGCCGCACAAGGAGGGGGGGAAAGCATGGGAAGGCCGCACAAGGAGGGGGGGAAAGCATGGGAAGGCCGCACAAGGAGGGGGGGGAAAGCATGGAAGGCCGCACAAGGAGGGGGAAAGCATGGGAAGGCCGCACAAGGAGGGGGAAAGCATGGGAGGGACGCACAAGGAGGGGGGAAAGCATGGAAGGGACGCACAAGGAGGGGGGAAAGCATGGGAGGGACGCACAAGGAGGGGGGAAAGCATTGGAGGGACGCACAAGGAGGGGGGAAAGCATGCGAAGGATACGCACAAGGAGGGGGGGAAAGCATGCGAGGGACGCACAAGGAGGGGGGAAAGCATGCGAGGGACGCACAAGGAGGGGGGGGAAAGCATGCGAGGGACGCACAAGGTGGAAAAGCATGCGAGGGCCGCACAAGGAGGTGGAAAAGCATGGAAAGGGAAAAGCAAAGCCTCACAAAGGGGGGAATTAAAAGGGCGCGCAAGAGGAAGGGTGGGAAGGAGTATACTAGGGAAAGGATAAAGGGTGGAGAAGAGGTGCACACGAGGCTTAAATAGTACTGATAACATAAGGAACACTGCAGCAGGCCTACTGGCCCATGCGAGGCAGAGGCATGGACCGGGCCGCGGGGGCGTTGATCCCCGGAATAACCTCCAGGTAACCTCCAGGTAACCAGGTAGGTCCAAGTCTCCTACCTGCTTAAGCCAATGCACCCAACCTAGTCAGGTCACATTCACTTAAGGAACACGGCAAGTCCTTCAATCTGCACAACCAGTGTTTTAAGATCCGCCTTGACATGGGTTAGAAACCCTCCCCTTCCCCCGTGTATTCTAGTTCCGCGAGACATTAACCGTGTCTATTAGCGCGGGAAGATTAACCGGGAGTGAATCTACCTACCCCAACAGTACCTATGATATACCTTTGACGAGTTCCGAGTTTGCTACTCCTGCAGCCTGGCCACAGGAAAGTGACAACGTGTAGAAGTTTCTAGTCTGCTGCAGATGTTGAACAGACGTAGAACACCCATTTCTGTATATTCTGTAGAGGGCTACAGTATAATAGGATACCCAGACGCTTATGAAAAACATTTGGGTATCTATTCGGTACACCTCGACACAAGATACCTAATGCTGCACAGGTATTTATAAAACCCATCTGGGTATCTACAGTCATACGCTACTGAATAAATGTACCTATATACCCATCTGGGTATCTACAGTCGGTAGAAGTCTACTGAATAAATATGCCTATATACCCATCTGGGTATCTACAGTCAGTCTACTGAATAAATATACCTATATACCCATTGGGTATCTACAGCCAGTAAAGGTCTACAGAATAGATACCTATACCTAGCTGGGTATCTACAGCCAGTAGAGGTATATGGAATAGATACCCAGATACTCTTAAAATTCATCTGGGTACCTAGCCTGTACGCATCTACAGACTGAAGGTTTTACGCCATTAATACAGATTACTGCCACCTGTTACCAGTATACCTGGAGCCTCTTCCTAGGGGCAGTGCCCCCGCGGCCCGACCCCAGACTAGGCCTCCTGGTCATGGTTGCTAGGGTCTCCAGCCTGCCATCTAAGCCCCTACGGTAGCTAGGTTCTCCAGCCTGCCACCTACTAAGCCCGTACGGTAGCTAGGTTCTCCAGCCTGCCACCTACTAAGCCCCTACGGTAGCTAGGTTCTCCAGCCTGCCACCTACTAAGCCCCTACGGTAGCTAGGTTCTCCAGCCTGCCACCTACTAAGCCCCTACGGTAGCTAGGTTCTCCAGCCTGCCACCTACTAAGCCCCTACGGTAGCTAGGTTCTCCAGCCTGCCACCTAAGCCCCTACGGTAGCTAGGTTCCCCAGCCTGCCACCTACTAAGCCCCTACGGTAGCTAGGTTCTCCAGCCTGCCACTTACTAAGCCCCTACGGTAGCTAGGTTCTCCAGCCTGCCACCTACTAAGCCCCTACGGTAGCTAGGTTCTCCAGCCTGCCACCTACTAAGCCCCTACGGTAGCTAGGTTCTCCAGCCTGCCACCTAAGCCCCTACGGTAGCTAGGTTCCCCAGCCTGCCACCTACTAAGCCCCTACGGTAGCTAGGTTCTCCAGCCTGCCACCTACTAAGCACCTACGGCAGCTAGGTTCTCCAGCCTGCCACCCAATCCACCCATTTAAGCACCTAAGGCACCTATTTAAGCTCCTAAGACGTTAAACATAGGATTAGCGAACTAATTTGTATTCTAAACCGTTTATGGTACCTGTTATACCGTTTTTAACCTATGGGAACATTAAGCTTAAATTCGTTGAATTCCGAGCCGTTTTTCATCGATTATACCGTTTATTATACCGTTTTCTGTTTTAACATATGGGAACTGTTGAATTCTGAACAGTGACAGATTATACCGTTTATTATACCGTTTTTTCGTCATAGTTAACGGGAAAATTGAATTCTGAATCGTTTGATAGATTATACCGTTTATTATACCGTTTTCTGTTATACAGTTAGATGGAAAAATGTTGAATTCTGAACCGTTTGATAGATTAAAGCGTTTATACCGTTTTTTTTGTCATCTTACCGTTTTTAACATATGGGAACATTAAGCTCAAATTTTTGGGCATTATCTATACCGTTTTTTTTAAACGGCCGTTGGTGATACCCGTTAAAAAGAACCCCAATAAAACCACACCCTGTAAACAGGGGGGGAATACCGGTATTTTAACCGGTTTTGGTGGATTAAATAGCGGTGTATAAAGGAATATAGAAATTATTGCAACAACCCGGTGTTGCAATGCAATTGTAGGGGGGGGGAGGGGGAGGAGAGGGGGGGGAAGTGTCTGCCACACCCTGTAAACTGTCAGTAAATGTCAAAAACTGGGCGAAAGGGGTGAAAGGGAGGGGGGAAAGGGGGGGAAGATAGATTTAAAAGGGGGAGGGGGAAGATATTTGAAGATTTGGCAGAGGTTGTGTCTAGTGACCCCCCCCTCCCCCCACCACCTTCCCCTCCCTCCCCTGTGGGCGGCTCTGACGCCCCCACCCACTAGCCACACCTTGTAACCCGCCCACGTACACACCCAGTAATATTAACCCCCCCCCAGTACCGCCATTATTCTCAGCCTACCGGCTGTGACACCCCCCCCCCCAGTCCAGCCGCTTTCGAGGGAAAAAAATAAAAGCCTATTACCACTGGTGAAACCCTATGTGCTACCCGCCCACTTAGGTGTCAGCAAGTGAAGAATATGTGCATCCTAGCCATGTGGAAGCCACGGGGTAACACCTACCATCCTGGATGAGTGTAAGTATCACAAGTCAAGCGACAGACGTCTGCTCGCTACCACTGTCTCAGAGTGACTGCGAACTCCCGCCACTCCACACTCCTGCTTATCACCACCTTACGCCACACTCTGCATCATTACCCCAAAAGCTTATTTATCCTTATCCCACGGGTTATCCACCACCTGGATAACCAAAATCATGGCTAATGAGGTGGAATGAGTAGGTTATACAGGGGAAATAGGGGAAATAGAGATGAAATAAGGAACTAGATGGAGCGGCGGAGGGTGTAAGGAGGGGGTTACGCGGCTAGGAGAGCGCTGATTGGTGGAGGTTTACCTGCAATGCGTCATGGGCGGCTGGTGGCTCTGCAACCCTGCACACCGCCGCGCCGCCTCGACCCGCCCGCACGTCCCACTCACTTACTCGCCCTTTATTTCCCACTCTCATCATGCAAATAATGACTCTCTAACTTGTCTAATTTATGCTACTGTTCAATGGGGGGATAATGTGTTATGTACTGGGAGATCTACCTTCTTCCTCCCCCCCCCCCTCCTGGTCTACCGGTTACGCAATGCGTCCCACTCGGTTTTTATTTCCCACTCGTCATGCAAATAATCACTCTCGGACTTGTCTAAATTATACAACTGTTGTTGAATGGGAGGATAATGTATTAAAACCCGGGAGTTATACCTTACTTCACTTCATGTCTTATTTACGCACGTATCCCACACTAAATTCTCATCATTCAATTTTGCAAGAATATTTTCCTGTCACTCTCTTCCCTCTTTCATTAATGTCAAAAAACTATATATATCTTTATTATTTAATAAAATATAAATTACTGAGAAATATTTCCTGTTTTAACTCAAATTTTAGCGCTGGAATAAATGACCCAAAATAGTTTACCTTAAGAAAAATACCGTAATTCTGGAAATTTTATCAATTATTCAGTAATAAAAGATTTGTTGCCCTTTTATAAACTACGAGTTTATGAAAAAAAAATAAATAATTAGTTAAACGTAAGTAAAAGTAAGATTCAATGTAATTTTAATTAAATTTTTCCATAGTTTCACCTAGGAAATTAACTTCGATAATTTTAATTCCATTAAATTTAAATTAAAATTTCGATTTTGAAAAAAATAAGTTTTATTGCCCTTGTGGGTTTAGTGCTTAAATTTGATTATAACCTAAAACTGAAGTTGATAGTCTTTTATTTCTCTATCTTAAAATATTTTTTTCTTTTGGTGGGGAGACTTGGTGTTACGAAGACAAGCGTAGAATAGCCTGCACCTGGGTGTTCCGGGGGCCAGCGCCCCCGTGGCCCGGTCCGTGACCAGGCCTCGTGCTGGATCAGGACCTGGTCAACCAGGCTAATTATGCTGGACGCACATAACCACAGCCCGGCTGGTCAGGTACTACTGACTTTAGGTGTCTGTCCAGCGCCTCGAAGATAGCCAGGGGGGGGTCTCGAAGACAGCCAGGGGGGTCTTAAAGATAGCCAGGGAGGATCTATTGGTAATCCCATTATACCTGGTGGGAAGCTGTTGAACAGTCTTGGGCCCCTGACACTGAACAAATAGTGGCGGAAGCACAGGACAAGTCGTACATACATGACTTCTTTCCTTCAAGTTAAAAGTTAGTATTCACATTATATACAGTAAGTGTACAACACGATGGTCAAAGGAGGCATAAATGAGAGAGCCAGAGAATGTAATAATGTTGGTAGAAACACCGACAAGGAAGGTTCCTTGATGTCGGTGAGCAGCGCTGTGTAGTCCTTGTGGCTTAGCGCTTCTTTTTTGATTATAATAATAATAATAATTGATGTCGGTGAGGGGCTCTTGATCTAGGGAATTGGATCTGTGTGCCAGTTCCCTAAATACTTTCCATCCCCCCCCCACAGCTCAGGCGCTGTATAATCCCTATGGGTTTAGCCCTCCCCCATAAAGGATGCAAGTGCAACTGAGCACAACACACACAAAGGGCTATTGCTCAGAGGAGACGTAGCATCTGAAGCAGATACACCCCTACTAAACGGAAAGAAGAGACATGACTTATGCTAAGGCCCTATCAGTCCACCAAGCAGGACTGAGGAAAGAAGAGGGCAGAGATGTTGGGAGCAGGGATAGCAGTAAGGGAGGGGGGAGAAGGCAGAGAGGGGGATATGTCCCATGCAGAGGCACAACCATGCCACCAAGAGTTACAGGAAGAGAGGAGAGACGATGGCTATATACAAATGGAACCCAGAGACAGAGGGAAAGGCAATGGGAGGAGGACCCCTCAAGGAAGGTTCCTTGATGTTGGTGAGGGGCTCTTGATTTAGGGAATTGGATCTGTGCTCCAGTTCCCCGAATTAAGCCTGAATGCCTTCCACATCCCCCCCCCAGGCGCTGTATAATCCTCCGGGTTTAGCGCTTCCCCCTTGATTATAATAATAATAATAATAATAATAATAATGGGAGGAGGAGAGGGAGAAGTCAGTGTTTATTCATGGGCTTCAGGAGAGCAAAGGGAGGATACACAATGAAAGACGACAGGAAGAAAAACAGGAGATTGAAAACATTATCAGAGAAATAGGCGAAGACATGACTAAGATAGCAAAATTTCAGAGAATTGGGAAGTACCTGAAGGGGAGAAATTGGCCGGTCAAACTGATTTTCAAGTCAGAAACGGTCTGGAACAGAATCCTGGAAGAGAAACCAAGGCTGAAGGAATCATTAACCTACAAGAGGGTGTTCCTAGACCAAGACAAAATAGCAGCAGCTGAGGGTGAGGACACAAAAATGAAAGGGGCTAGGAAGAGAGACAAGGACAGAGTCAGGAGAGAACAGCCGAAGCAGGGCAGAGCAATAAGCATAAGCGCACACACAACCACCTGCAGAACCCCACAACCAAACATGCCATCCCAACACAAACCACAATATACACTTACAGGCCCCACCCCTCACTACACTGTAGAATACCACAGCACACTGACATGTCCCCCACCCTCACAGACTCCCCAGAACTCAGTGTTGGAGAGGAAACTGACGGTATAGTACACCAACACTGATGGAATAACGAATAAGTAGGAGGAATGGCACAAAAGAGTCAAAGAGGAATCATCAAATATCATAGCACTCACAGAAACCAAGCTCACTGGAATGATAACAGATGCCATTTTTCCATCAGGATACCAGATCCCGAGGAAAGACAGAGGGAACAGAAGGGGTGGAGGAGTGGCACTGCTCATCAAAAACCAATGGAATTTTGATGAGCTGGAGAGAGTAGACAGAGGAGAAGCAAGAGACTGCATAATAGGAACACTTCAGTCTGGAGGTCCAAAGGTGGTAATTGCAGTGATGTATAAACCACCACATAACAGCAGGAGGCCAAGGCAAGAGTATGATGTTAGTAATAGAGCGATAGTTGACACACTGGCTGAAGTGGCCAGAAGGGCTCATGTGAGCAGGGCAAAGCTACTGTTCATGGGTGACTTCAATCACAAGGAAATCGACTGGGAGAACCTGGAGCCACACGGGGGCCCAAAAACGTGGAGGGCTAAGATGATGGAGGTGGTACTGGAAAACCCCATGTACCAACATATAAGGGACACTACCAGAGAGAGGAGAGGATGAACCAGCAAGACTGGACCTAGTATTCACCTTCAGTAGTGCAGATATTGAGGACATCACATATGAAAGACCCCTCGGGGCCAGTAACCACGTGGTTCCGAGCTTCAAATACATAGTTCCAAGTGGAGAGGGAAGCAGGACAAATGAAGCCAAACTACAAGAAAAGGGACTACACAGGCATGAAGAATTTCCTACACGGGGTTCAGTGGGACAGAGAACTGGCAGGGAAGTCAGTAAATGAGATGATGGAATATGTGACAATATGAAAGAAAGCTGAGGAGAGGTTTGTACCGAAGGGTAACAGAAATAACGAGAAAGCCAGGATGAGCCCATGGTTCACCCAGAGGTGGAGAGGCCGAAACCAAGTGTGCTAGAAAATGGAAGAAGTATAAAAGGCAAAGGACCCATGAGAATAAGGAGAGCAGTCACAGAGCCAGAAATAAATATGAACAGGTAAGAAGGGAGACCCAACCACAATACGATAATGACATAGAAGCGAAAGCCAAATCTGACCCGAAGCTGTTGTACAGCCACATCAGGAAGAAAACAGTAGTGAAGAGGCTCCTAAGGGAGCTAAATACCTCAAAGGTGGTGGGGCCGGATAACATGTCTCCATGGGTCCTGATTTACAGAGCAAAGGCACTGTGTACCACTAACAACAATCTTCAACACTATCGAAACAACATGACTACCTGAGGTATGGAAGACAGCAAATGTATTCTCAGTTTTTAAAAAAGAAGACAAGACACAAAGCATTAAACTACAGACCAGTGTCACTGACATGTATAGTATGCAAAGAAGAGAGGTGGAGCACCTAGAAAGGTGATGGGATGGGAATGGGATGGGAAATCCTGTGTCACAAACCTATTGGAGTTTTATGACAGGGTGACATCAGTAAGACAAGAGAGAGAGGTGTGGGTAGAGTGCATTTTCTTGGACTGTAAGAAGGCATTTGAAACAGTTCCACACAAGAGATTAGTGCAAAAGCTGGAGGACCAAGCAGGGATAACAGGGAAGGCACTACAATGAATCAGGGAATACCTGTCAGGAAAACAAAAGCGAGTCATGGTACATGGCGAGGTGTCAGAGTGGGCGGTTGTGACGAGCGGGGTTCCACAGGGGTCAGTCCTAGGACCGGTGCTGTTTCTGGTATTTGCGAACATGACGGAAGGAATGGACTCAGAAGTGTCGCTGTTTGCAGATGATGTGAAGTTGATGTGAAGAATACAATCAGACGAGGACCAGTCAGGACTACAAAGGGATCTGGACAGGCTTCAGACCTGGTCCAGCAACTGGCTCCTGGAGTTCAACCCCACCAAGTGCAAAGTCATGAAGATTGGGGAAGGGCAAAGAAGACCACAGATGGAGTACAGTCTAGGGGGCCAGAGACTACAAACCTCACTCAAGGAAAAGGATCTTGGGGTGAGTATAACACCGATCACATCTGAGGCGCACATCAACCAAATAACTGCTGCAGCATATGGGC